AAATACGTATTTTACCATTTTTGGAAATTTCACCCCCAAGGGAGTTGAACAAGGGTAAAAGGTCGTAAAATATTTGTATTTTTTTTTAAAGTTAAATTCATGGAAATTGGTATTTGGGCTCTCAGTTAAAACCAAAAAAAACACGTGTTTTAGGATTTCGGAAAATTTGATCCCCAAAGGGGTCAAACAAGGGATGAAAGTTTGTATAAATATTTATGTTTTCGTTATTTTTGAAGTTATATTTGGGCTTTCGGTTAAAAATGAAGAAACACATGTTTTAGGATTTCTGAAAATTCCACCCTCTAGGGGGTTAAACAGGGATGACAATTTGTATTAAAATATGTCATTTATAATGTTAAATCCTTGAAAATTTGTATTTAGGCTTTCGATTAAAAATCAAGTAAACGTGTTTCAGGAGTTTTGGAAATTTCACCCTCAAGGAGGTTGAACAACGTAAAATATCCGTTTTTTTTTAAGTTAAATCTATGAAAATTGGTATTTGGGTGTTCAGTTAAAAACAAAATAACACGTGTTTCAAGATTTTGGAAAATTCTATCCCTAAGGGGGTCAAATAAGAGATGAAAGTTTGTATAAATATGTATAGTTAATCATGGAATGACAATTTGTATCAAAATTTGTCATTGTTAAGTATACAGGGTATTTCACGAGTGATAAAGAGCCTGACCACATTTGAACTGCAGCCAGCAATACATTTGCATAGGCTTCATGGATTTTGATTATGAATTTTAAAATTAATAAAACATAGTTATCGCGTGACTGACACAAAGAAATTGACAAGACAGGAAACACAATTTTTAAGGTTATTGTCTATCTACCATTGGAAAACAATTTCAGACCTTTTTGGAGCTTTTCTATACAGGAAACATTGTGTTTACAAAAGAAGCATTTTTTCCAAATTCGCCATAAATGAGAATCAGATCTGTTTTCTCATCGTTCGAATGCATTTTAAAATTTTGCTAATGTCAATTGTGACATGGTTGTGACAAATAAAATTATCGAATCAAAGCTATCGTGGATTCATAATTCGGTTTTTCAAAAAATGCGATATCTAAAATATCCACGTTAACTTTGCAAATGTATTGTGGGTTGTATTTTCAATTCCGTCAGGCTCATTATCACTCGTGAAATACCCTGTATATCCATGAAATAAGACTTAAAATTTTACGGTTTTTAAATAAGTTATAAAGGACGGACTCTTTATTTTTACTACGAAGTTCATAATAAATTATGTGTTGCTATATTTTGTTAGTAAGTTTCTTAGCCCTTCTGCGTTTTGAAATAGTTGTGGATGCCAAAGTACCACGCGAGCGAAGCCGCGGGCAACAGCTAGTCATGTATAAGTTTTTTTATAATTATTCAGTAAAGGTACAAAAATTTTGCCAATAAGAGCCATAATAACACTAAATAGAGTTACAATTTAGGATACAACTTCCTTGTTTCCTCTTCTAATACTCTGTAGCAAAAAAACTTGAAAATATATTCTTCCAACAGAAATAAATAGAGTCAAAGTGCAAAATTTCAACTCTCATAACTTCGAAATTTAGATTTTAGAATTTAGATAGAATTTTTTAACAATTTTCTTGTTGTCCAGGGCATCACCCAATGATAGTGTCATGGAGGTGTGCGACTTTCCGGACACCTGTATTTTAATGACTTTTTAATGGATTAATCGATTTTTATGAAACTTCGTACAGGCAATTTGCTATCAAAACGACATGTTTTAATGCTTTTTTTGTTTTATTATGATTGTAAAATACTTATACACTTGGTTGCAAAAAAATCGGAAAATGTCAAAGCATAAAAATGTTAGATTTTTTTTATATTTACCTATCCATACTTTGCACTTGGCTTAATTTTAAAAGGTTAAGTGAGAACTGACAGTTAATCTGTAGTACTCACTACTCATCGGGTTTTCACGTAAGTACTCAACTAATTAATTATCTTGATTTGCATTTGATGCTCTCGGCATTTAAGTGCGGCATTTCAGAAAAAAATATTTGAATGCGACAGATGACCTAAATTGACAAGTTTAAATCTAAAGAAAATTCTATTTTTCGTTTTTATTGCAACCAGCTGTACCTTTACCTATTAGCAACATAACATATTTTAACCCATACTTTTATTTTATGTAATTTTAGTGGCATCATATGTAATTGTTTTTTATTCGAAAGCTACATTATTTTTAAACAATTTTTTTTGTTATATATTTTTTTTTAAATCGGCCTTGGTTTCAGAGTAAAAAAATATTTAAGCGAACGTATCAAAATTTCGGACGTTCGCGGCATTTATTATTATTGTTTTTAAAAAACAGGATATCCAGAAAATCGCGCACCTCCGTGCACTCTATCATCGGGCGGTGCCCTAAACAAGAAGAAAAATGTCGTAACATTAAAATAACCCTTTTAAATCATCTTAAATCATCGAAGAAGCACATGTAAAGAAAGAGACAAATTCAAAATTTTGCGCCAGGAACACCGGTCACAGTTTACATGCGTTTTAATTAGTGCCACCCGTTCACCGCCAAAAATCACCTATGCGACGATTTACGATTTTCCGGCCTTTTTGGTTCGAGAGCTGGCACGAAAAACGTTTTTAGCGCTGTCGTACCTCGTGTAAAATTTACCAGAGTATCGAATTTAAGCGAAGAGTGAAATTAGCGCATCACTAAGATAATTTTCATATATTATATTCTTGTTCAAATTCTTATTTCTTTTTGAATTATGAACTAACGATATCGTTGTGTATTTGTCGTATCGTGTCGTAGTCGTTTTTGGCGGTGTTCCCTAAAAAAGGTAATTAATACCTAATTATCGTCACGTTTTTTTGCTCAGACCTTTGAGTTGTCAAATTAGGGACGTCGGGTACGCCTAGATCCCGTGGCCAAGTCTTCCTGAGGGACCTGGAATCGAGTACAACCCCGATATCGTCCCACAAGCTTATTAAAGGACCTCGATCGTCTGGCAGTGGAATTCCAGCGGAGCATTATCGAGGCTAAGTACCCAACCTGTCGTATTTACCGAGGGTATGGATCATCGATATCTAGTACTACTTAGAAAAATGTTATATTGTCGTGACCTTGGAAAAATTTCAGTTTATTTCGTTCTTCAGGCGTATAATTTTTGAACAATAATTATTAAATATTAGTAGTTCCTGTAAACGCAGCACAGCTGTGTGACGATGACGGTACCGTCAGTTATGTGTAAATTTTGAGTTTTTTGCTAGTATTTACCATAGCATTTGTTTTTCGTTAAATTTTACTTCGGGTATAATAAATTATTTATTTTTATTAAAATTTGCGTTGGCAGTACCTCTCTCCCAGTCAAGAGGTAGCAGTGCTTTATTTTTTGACTGTGGTGGCGCCCTAAACCTTACCGATCCAGAACCACTCCCACGATAGCGAGCAGCCAAGGATAAAAAATGTTACAATGTTAAAAAAATCTATAAAAATTTCGAAGTCATGAGTTTAAATTTTGCACTTTGACTCCATTTATTTTTGTTGGAAAAATAATTTTCCAAGTTTTTTTTCTACAAACGATTAGAAGAGGAAACATGGAAGCCGTATCCTAAATTGTCACTCTGTTTAGTGTTATTTGTAGCTTTTATTGGCAAAATTTGTGTACCTTTACTAAATAATTATGAAAAAACATATACAACATCATCAGTACCATTAAATAGACTTAAAAAAATGTCAAATGTCAAAAAATAGATGTCAAAATTATTTTGACAGATAAATTTTTTTAAACATTTACTGGGGGACTACCCAATTACTCCCTTTCAGGGAAGTGCGCGACTTTCCGGACACCTGTATGTAAAATTGGAATTTTTTTCTTTATGTGTGTTTGTGTTAGTTAACAATAATATAATTCTTTATTAATTTACACAAAAAAAACATACCTAAAGCTTGACATTAAGCGAGATCATCATACTGCTATAGGAGGGTAAGTGTTCTAAGAATATTTGGTACACAATCATATAGGATGTGTTACTGATAACGGCTAGAAGGAAGTAAAGATTACATTTGGTCCACATTCGCCTTTTCCCAAGTGAACAAACAGGCACCTATATAAAATCTCCTCAGTGGGTATACACTCCAGCAAGTAACTCGTAATTTCAATTATAATTTATCCAGATAACAATTTCGTTTTACTGACATATGGACAAAATAAAAATAAAAGTAGGTAACAGGTATGCCTAATGGTTTTGGGTTTTTTAAATTTTTGAACAAATAAAATTGGTAACAATACTAACAATAGCAACAAAAGAGATGTTTCCTCCTTTGTTTCGTAAAAAATGAAAGTGAATGAGTGAGTTGTTTGTATATAAGCACTCTTGTATGTCATCTACAAAATAGACATTATTTTATTTGAACCTCTAAGTTTACTCTTAAGTAAATACAAGAATAATTATTATCTTTTGCTACTAAGCACCATTGGAGTAAAACATTTTATGTTTTAAACTCGTTAGATTATATTACTACGTATACCACTAAAGTAGGTAGGCATTCGAGATTTCTTGTGGCGATCCAATAAGACAATAAGTATCTAAGGTTTTAGTTTCGAAAGTTTTGGCTTTAACGTCCTGTTCAGGTCCTTATCGGGCTCTTCGACTTCCTCGGTAGCATCAGATTTCGTCCCTGAATTAAAACGGCGAGAAAAAGTGTGCTCCATCCCAAATCAATATGCCCAATAAAACGATATAAATACACAATATCAAAGTGAAGAGCGTCCCCTCTTGAGTAAGCCCCGCCTCTTTGTTCCGTAAAACCTCGTCCCGTAAGGTCGTCATTCGCATGTAAATCGCTTTGAAAGATCGCTAGGTAAGAGGGCGATTCCCGACTGGAAACAAACGAAGGTGCGGCTTGGTGCGATTGGTCGACCCGTCCAGTCCCCGCCCACCTTCCTCTTCGAGTACCCAGAATGCAGCGGGGCCCGACAGAAGTGCCATGTACACTTTGAGGACACTCTAAGAGTACGCTTAGGCAAGTTAAGCGCACTTCGCCGTTAAAGAGTCTTACATCAAGAGTGCTCTAAAGAGTGCTATAGCTCGATCACTGATTTATTTATATAGTTAGTCAGTTTGTTTATTGAATTCGGATATCGGAACGACCGGAAGTCGGGCTCTTGTACTTCTTCGTGCATAATCGATGACGGGCGTTTAGTGCGGTGGGTGAGTGCCCTACAGAGGTCCTGGAGTCCATGTCTGCAGCTGCCAACTACGGGGAAGGGCCCGTGGTGACGGACCGGGGCGACCTCCATGGGTTGCTACCCGAGCTTAATGGGGTCGAGCTGGCTATGAGCTTGAGTCCCAAGCATCATCAAGGAGGACAAGTCTTGAGCCATCTTCAGCAGTTGCATCATTCAACGCCGTTCAGTGTTACCGATATTTTGAGTCCTATCGAGGAGTCGTACAGGAAATTGGAGTTAGCGGCTAATCCGCCGTCGCCCTACAGGTAGGTACGACTTGAAAGCCTACATCCATCCACACTCAAAAAACACAATTTTTAGTTGAAAACCAAGTGCTATAATATTTACCTATACTTATATTCAAGTACAAAAAAAAACGCAAAAGTTTGTTTTACTCAAATTCATGGATAAAGTTTATAAGACTTTTGTTTCTACATTTTGAGAATTTTGTTTTCATTTTTAAACGAACACATTTTGCAAAACTAATTAAAGAAAAAAAAATGCGTTAGGTATAGGTATACCGCTATAAATAGGTGGGTATATGATGTATCTAAAAATCTATATTTTATATTTTTTCAAACCTTTCAATAAGAATTTTTCCGACGGTTGTATATTTATAGACGCAAAAACTAAACATAACTCCAAATTAAATTTTCGGAAGAAACAAATCTTTTTTCATAAAAATTTATAGTTTTTTGAAACAGGTTTTGGTTATGGTTGTACCTACCTAAATTTCTGTGTTAATTACATGTCTATCTAAAATTCATTACCTACCTATAGGTTTTTTTTATAAATAGTAGTACCTACTGTTACTATACCAATGTGATAGTTATTGGTTTTACAAGTGCCGTAAAGTGAATTTTTCATGCGAGTGTTGAAGTCGCGCACAAAGCCGGTAGGTTGATTGTGATTAACACGATCATGAAGAAAGCTTTTCTCACAAGTAGAACACAATATTTTCCTACGATTTTTATAAATCATTTATTATTATATAATCAATTAATTACCAATAGCAGCATAGTAACGAATAAAATCAAATGTCAAAACAAGATGCCTGCTACGCAAGATACAGAACTGTCATTTCTCCGTGCATTTTTCACAAAGAAACTTTAAAGTTGAAAAGCACTTTTTCTTTAAAATAAACCCTTCACATTATTTTGAAAATAGTACCACCATTTCATATATGTATACCTACTTATAGCTATGAATTTTTTAAGTAAAAATGTAATATATATTTACAAGTTTGTTATTTGATACGAAAATATGTATAAAAAATGTGATGTTACATTTACTATAACAACCTTGCAATAACTTCTTATCAAATAGATGCTTTAAGGCCATCAAGAATTATACCTAGTCATCAGGTCCAGGTTCATATAAAATGTATTTTGGAACTATAAACTTGTTTCTAAGCACACAAAAGCGAGCGAGTTTACGTAAACGTCTTATTTTTTGATTTCTTAGCAACGGCCATTTGTCGTAATACGTTAAACTTTTTTGCAAAAACTCTCTTATAATACGAAAATAGACGATTTCGATTTTTACATCAAATTTCTCGGAAATTCTTTGAGAGATACAAAGCGCAATACAAAATACAATAAAACATTGTATGTACCACTAGCATAATTGCATAATTATGACTTACGTATACAGGGTCGCTAAAAAGTATAGATACAGTTAAATATGTATTACAAAAACTATTTATCAAAACTTATTGAAATTTAGAATATGCTTAAAAGTATTTAAATTCCATTGCCTCAGATATTTTTCAAACTTCTATCTTCATTTGTTCTGAAGATACAAGGCTAACTTGATTTTATTTTTAAAAAAAGGGTCAAATTTAATATTCTTAAGAAGAGCAATTTTTTCTGAGTTCTGTGAAGTAACACATGCATACCTTATTTAAAAAAATTATCGAACTACTAATAACATTTTGAAAACTGTAATTTTTTTTAGCCTTGGAAATGTCTTTATCTATCGTTACCTCTTTGCCGCCTGAACTTTGATCAGAAAATAGGTAAACTGTTTCCCAAATTTTAACGTGCTCTGCTAGACTCTTCAGAAAATATTTAGCTGTATCCATACTTTTTAGCGACCCTGTATAAACAACTATTATATAAGTACAGTCGGTGGACATAAAAAACTGGGACATCCAAAATTTGCTCAATGTGTATCAAACTTTTGAATTGTCAATCAAAATAAAAGTTAACAGAACCGTTGAAGTTTTTTGAACCTAAGAGATGCTGGATCACTTGTGTTATTTATTACACCCTTGTACATGTAGGCAGCATTAAAAAACTGAACTCCAACTTGATTTTTGCTGCAATATGTCATAACTTTTATAACCTTATTTGTAAAGAGCCAAATTTACTCCATGTAAACTTCTGATTTTTTGAGTATAAGTCATGTTTGTCCCAGTTTTGTATGTCCACCACCGACTGCACATACAGAGTGTTTGGTCCAAGTCGCCCCGGCCGATCCTAAATTTACTTTTTTTTTCAAAAACTAAATTTTTAAATAATACTATTTATTCCTCGCTTTCTTAGTAAATGCATCAAATTTTTTTGGTACATCCGGTGTAGGCGGAAATGCTGTCAAATTTAGTTTTTCAAATGGAACACCTATGTTTTTTGCTCAAAACAATAATAATTGGTATGAAAACTACGGTAAACCACTATTTATTACATTTTACTTTACATAATGCACTCACAAAACAATTTAATTTTTTTAATTTTATTGCAAATTTTGCAAAGTAGGCGGATTTTACTTGTCAAGGTATTCATGCAAAAAGCAATATGCTTGGATACGCTTTAATTGTTAGTTTGACAAAGCTAATTTATCAATTAATCTTATTGAGATCTTTAATAATGGATGATATATTACGACGAATTACGAAGCTGATTTACCAGCTTGAAGGGTTTTTTAAGTGCAATAAAAATAGAGCGGAAGCTGAAAGACAGTATAGAGAAAAATACCCAAATAGAGTTTACCCAAATCGCAGGAAATTTAGTCGAAATGAAAAACAACTGAGACAAATAGTTTCGCTTCTTAAAACTAAAAAACCTGTGGTTCTTCGTGAAGAACAAGAAAATAGAAATCTGAATGTTCTGTTATCAGTCGAAGAAAATCCAAGAGTTTTCATAAGAGAACTCGCTCATCAAGTGAAAAATTAGATTTGTCAAACCAAAAATTAAACTGTATCCAAACATTTTTTTATTCACACTTTTCCTTTAAAATTGAAAATCAGGCTACGCGACCAATTTCCTTATAGAATTCTAAGATTTAAGATGTTTTTTGATTGCATTGTGTTACGCAAAATGTAATAAATAGTGGTTTACAGTATTTTTCATGTCAATTATTATTGTTTGGAGGAAAAAAACATGGGTGTTCCATTTGAAAAACTAAATTTGGTAGCATTTCCGGCAACACCGGATGTGCTAAAAAAAATGATACATTTACTAACAAAGACAAGAATAAATACAGGCCGATTCAGATAAGATAATGAGCCTGACAATCAGACGATGCAACCCAAAAAACAAATTTCATTTACGTCTTGATTTAATTTTAATTCCTATTTGCATTTGCAATCTAAGTTATCTTATGTTACTTTGACAGTGCTTTGACAAGCATTTTACGATTTATAAAAAAAATGTTTGCCTACCTTTAATGTTTCAATCTTTCCTACATTTTGTATTGGGTTTACACCGAAAAGACTTCTCTAATTTCGCTATCATTCCGCGAGAACTGAATGGTACTAATAATGGTTCTCTGCGTTGATGTCAGAGTGACATATGATGATAACTTGGATTCAACTTGCAAATCCTAATTTAAATTGGATCAAAGACGTAAATGAAATTTGTTTTTTGGGTTGCATCGCCAGATCGTCAGGCTCATTATCTTATCTGAATCGCCCTGTATTATTACTTAAATATTTACTTTTTGAAAAAAAGAAGTAAGTTTAGGTGTTATCAGACGGGGCGACTTGGACCGAACACCCTGTATACACTGTTAATTCAAATTTAAAATTTATATTTTTTTCATTATGGGCGCTTTTAACTAATTATTATGGCAGTAAAACAAACAGGCAAGGAGATTTTTTGTCATAATTGTGTTTTTTTTTTAAATTTCCTAGTAGGTATGTACAGATAAATCTGCTATTTCAGACTCGGGTGCGCCTCGTCCGAAAACAGCAACGATTCGTCCGCAAAAACTGTGTTTTAAATACTTAAATACTTTAACAATTATAATTAATTATTGTTACAATATAATAATAATACAACACAATACAATGCAAACAATAATACAATACAACTATTATTGTTTGGGGGAAAAAAACATAGGTGTTCCATTTGAAAAACTAAATTTGGTAGCATTTCCGGCAACACCGGATGTACTAAAAAAATTTAGTACATTTATTAAGAAAGCCAAGAATGAATATTATTACTTAAATATTTACTTTTTGAAATAAAGAAGTAAGTTTAGGTGTTATCAGCCGGGGCGACTTGAACCGAACATCCTGTATTTCACTTTTTAAGTATAGTTATAAAAAAAATATTTTGTTACAAATATATATTTTTTAGATCAGAAAAAAATTAGCTTTTCAAAATTGTCATAGCCGCCTGTATGATTTCCATTAAACTAATATTATTTTAATTGTAATATTAGTAGTATTAGAAATATAAAACTCACTTGTAGTGGCGTGGAGTCGCCGTCGGGTGCTTAACACTATTCAGATTTTTTTGTCGATTGCTTGAGCCCCGAAGTACCTATGATGTATACTCATACCACTTTGTTTTAACATAATACTTCTAATGCAAATTAATAACAATTATTTTTATCAAAAATCTACAGTCACTAATTATTCCTCCAATAACAACAAAGTAGGTAAACTCACCAGTAGCGTACGGTTAATAGAAGCATCATTGTAAAATTAATCAAAGTTAAATCGTTGAAACAATATTTACATTTTTAAATATGTGGTTATGCTTAAACACATAGGTACAGACTGGATTATGAAAAAGCTATAACCTCATTATTTTTAAAAATATGACAATGCTTCTTAGAACAAAGTACAAAGTTGCACAGTTTATTGTCATCTATTTTTTTGAAATAGATGCTCAATCAATACCGCTTCCTGTTTCACCGAAAGTGACATTAACTTCAGTTTTTTTTAATAAAACACAATATATATTTTATTATTTTTGGGTTTCTCGTTAAATTGTGTTTCAACAAACTCACTAACTAAAATAATATACATATTATTTATCAGTTTATCACCAACTACCTATTGCTTTTAGGCACTTTAGAAAACAAACTTTTTAAGTCAAATGCCGGTGTTTAATTTATAAAGATGAAATTACCGTCTTTATTAGCGATAAATATCATTTAAATATTTTCAATTATTGTCTAATTATTTTAATAAAAGGGTTTATTATACTACTTACAGATTATTCAGTAATAAGTCAGAACATACGCAAGCACTTTTAGATTTTCTATAAAAATATGGACGTTTACCTTTTTACACTAACATACGTAATAAAAAGTGTTTTGTGAAAAAAATACTGAAAATCGTATTTTTGGAATTGCGTTACTTCACATTTCATCACAAATTTTTGTATAGAGAGAAAGTTGAGACAAGTTGTATACCAGCATGTACACGTAACTTTATAGGTGCTACGAATATGCCTACCTAGGTATAAAATTTAATTGTGTTTGAAATAAGTCCACAAATTTTCAGGTCTACATCCAGCGGAAGCAGCATCAACAACTCCCCCGGAGCCGGCGGCACGCCTGGAAGCGGCGGCTGCAGCATGAACAGCAGTTACCCCGTAATGGGGCAGTTCGGCGGTGGCCAATACTGTCCTGTTTCCGAAAATCTAGGTCTTACCCCCCACTATTCATCAGGATGGTACCAAAGCTCAGCAGCAGATCCCCGATTTGCAAGTAAGTTGAGAATTTTGCCACACACACCACAATTCCCACCCATTACCACAGTTTATACTAGAGCCCAATGTACGCGAAATGGGGTAATCGATAGGCCCACTTAAACTTGGAATGCTTAAATGGTGGTAAAATGTGGGGCTTTGGTAACGTGATCTGGGTAGCGTGCCACGGCAGTATGCGGAGGTATTAGCACCCTCGCGGTCTTAGTAACTCGATATAGTGTGTGAATGTGTAACTTCTTCGGTTTTATTGACCAATTAAAAGTGCTGACCTGTGAGGAAACGTGGAGATGAAGGGATTGTGTTGCAGCGGGTCCCGTATTTCCTCCGGCTTTATCCCGTCGCATCGACATCAATCATCTTCCTGTTCCTGTTTGCATACCGATATTCGTGTAATGTTGTTTATGATCGTGTTACGGCATATTAGGGGCGGAAGGAAGCGATGGGGAGTGAGAAGATTACGCGTTTTTTGTCTTTTATAAAGATCAAATTGCAAATGCCGGCAAATGTGAACTCTCATTATTAAACAAGGATCTACTTTCCTTACTTTTTTTTCGAAATAAATGAGAAATATTTTTTATTCTTCAACACAGTCAAAATTTGCGGTTTTTCTCCCGTGTAAGGAAGTTTTGACAACTGGTTGGCATTTTTCTATACGAAATGTCAAATTATTTTTAACAGATTTAAAACAAGTTTAAGCCTTGTTTAGTCTAATTCGAAGAATAAAATGTTGTATTGAGTGTAAATCGGACGCTTTATTCCACTCGGTCAAATAAAGCGTCCGATTTACACTCAAACTCGTCGAATAAATAACTATTTTTCAAACGTCAAAAAAGTGTGTTTTGATTAATAAAGATAAAGGATCACTTTTATTCAGGCGGCACTAAAAAACTCTTTTACTCAATTGTCCTAAAATGTGGTATTTTTCGGTTCGAATATCCGGAAGAAAATATGTACTCATTTTGTTACAAGGGGTATCAAATTTATGAAAAAATAGTACACTAAAATTTTGTTGAAGTAAATTAAGCTATATGAAAATGTCAAATATAAACGACTGATGTCATTTTAACAATTTAAATTTAAGGTTTTAAAACAAGTATATTTTGAAAGAGACGCTAAATTGCAAAAAATTAGAGAACCAATCATCACAGACGTATATTTGATCTAGTTCTTGACATGTTGCATTTATGTACTAACCAGTTAACATCATAAAGTACGTAGAAACGTTTTATTTTTGCGCCAAAATGGTTGCAAATTTTTAGAACCGGGTAAGTCCAAATTTGTAGTTATTTAAATTTTGATATCATAAAGTCTAATGTCTATCATAGCTATCGCCACTTTTTATATTTTTCACTATTTTTTTCTATATGAAATAGTGTAATATACCTACAAACTGTTCCGGCTAAACCCCACTTTAGAAGTATTGGAAGTTCTAACAATGTACCTATTTATATAAAATTTTGTTTATACCCATAATCGGTTACGTTCTGCTCAATGATGAAAATATTTTTAAAATGTTACACCGGAAGTGGATATCAACTACGTTATTTTAAACAGAAAGTTATGTTTTTTATTGCGTTTTTGGATTACCTAAGTGATTTTAAAAAAGTTTTTATTAGCGTTCTCTATACCTAAGTTTAACCGTTTTCGAAATATTTAAACCTTTTTAAGATTTTTTGGATTTAATCTTCCTACTCAAAAATCGATAACTCTACCATTTTTTATTAGGTTGAAATCGTATTTGGGTTTACAAGAGAGAAAGGTTAGATCTTTCCTTTGGTGTATTCATAATTAGAAAGATAATTAACAAACCGCTAAAATGTAAGGTTACATTTAGGAAACTTCAAATATCCTTAACTCAATTTTTCTAAATAAAACACAGAAGCAATTGAATACTAATTTTGCAAAATATTCTGCGTAACTTGACAATTTGAGAGAGAAAATTCCCGGTATTTTTCTAACCTTAACGTTAACAAACCTGCTAACCTGCATATTACCGCCCAAGAGATAAAATAATATTACTGCTCATGAGATTTAATGATGTTCCCAACCTTTAAAAGTTTAGTAATCAGCATATTACATTAGTGATTGTGAATAGATAAATTTAATTTGTATTTACGAAAAGAATAACAATTGTAATTGCATTTTTTCAGTGAGAAATATTTTCATGGTAAACTATGTGAAAACTACCATAGATTGTAATGAATTTCATCCATTGTAAAAAAAAGTTAAAATAATTTGGAAATCATTAAACTTAGTTATAGGGAATGTTGATAAAGATCGATGCAAAATTAAATTCTCTTTCATTTAGTAAAGAAAAAATTTTAGCCTTCCATTTGAAAAAATTCAGTTACGGTTATTTGAAGTTTCCCAAACGTAATCTTAAATTTTGGAGGTTTGTTAATTATTTTTCTAATTATAATATATGCCGGAACACGATTTCAAAACAATTAAAAATAGTAGCGTGATCAATTTTTGGAGAGAAAGATGCAAATTAAATTTCTTTTAAAAAAGTCTAAGGGCAAGGGCCAGTTTCATAATCGATTTAAAAAGACTTTAAAGTTAATGTTGGTTTAGAATGTGAAATTTTTGTCAACAAGTCTGTAGTAATCAGCACATTCTAAACAATATTTAATTTAAATACGATTATAAAACTGAACCTAAATATTTCAAAAACGGTTAAATTTAAGTGTAGGAAAGTTTGATGAAAACTCTCTTAAAATCACTTGAGTAATCCAAAATCTCAAGAAGTCTTTTTCCACGATTGTTAGGATTTATTTACGCAAGTTGCCCAGCTTATCTTCCAATTTGGTTTCTTAAGTGTTCTATGGGATTCAAATCAGTATTTCGAACTGGCCAGTCTACAGTGTTAATATACCAACAATATAATTATACCAACATCGTGAGGGTATGGCTTTGCCACTTGTCCTGTGCGACTCTCTCCATTATTATGAATAAACAAAAAATGTTCGCCGATAAATGGTGCATATAGCACAACATGAGGTTCCAAGATTCTGGTTACGTAATTGCAGGCACTTAAGCGTTTATTACTACAACAATCAACTCCATACAGTATGCCTCCTGAAACCACGACTAAGGCTCCACCAAAGCTAATCGTTTTGACAATGTTGCATTGGACTTCTGTACACTCTCATAAGCCTGTTATTTGAGAATTGACCACACTGAGATTTGTTGTTAAACAGCTAAACAACATCTTAGCTCAATCGACTTCTTGCCAATTTTGATGTTGGAGCAAACTCTAGATGCCTTCTGTCTTGTTCTGCGTTTAAAGAAGAACCAGTTGCGATTAGCTCTGCTAATCTTCCCCTAACTGTGTTTTGACAAATTTGAGTATGATACATTTGGAAAAACCATATGTGACAACATCTCGCACCTGAGCTGCGGTTGTAACCTGTTTTCTACCCTGACCCAACATTCTTTTATTGATACCTGTCTCTATAAATCAATTTGGAATCCTTGAAATAGTTGAAGAGTTACTGCACTGAGCAATAGATTGTTGAGATTCGCCTTCTTCAGAGAACGCCACCACCACCGCATATATTTCCCGGAAAGATTTATTCAAAATCGTCAAATAGCTTTCATTTCACCCGAATGTGACAATAACAGTCTATTTTTGCATCATTTAGCATAGATAACTTCTAATAGAAATATTACAATGACTCAACAACAGAAAATGACATTGCCACATTTTTTATTTACCTAATTAAACACAAACCTATCAACATTTCCTTTTGATTTACCTTTAATTTTTAATAACTTTGCTTTCATTAATTACCCCAGTCCGGTCTCTGAAAGTTTATTTAACAGAAAGATAAATTTAAACCTCGGTTAAACCATAACAACACACACCAATCAGATTAGCGCTATACCTTAGCATAACGATCTAATAACAATTGAATTTTAACAGACGTTTAATCCTTAGGTCATTATAAAAACAAGTTCCTATGAACATGTTTGGAAATATACAGGCTGTTCGGTCCAAGTCGCCCCGGCTGATAACACCTAAACTTACTTCTTTTTTTCAAAAAGTAAATATTTAAGTAATAATATTCATTCTTGGCTTTCTTAATAAATGTATTAAATATTTTTAGCACATCCGGTGTAACCGGAAATGCTACCAAATTTAGTTTTTCAAATGGAACATCTATGTTTTTTTTTCGCCAAACAATAATAATTGACATGAAAAATACTGTAAACCAATATTTATTACGTTTTGCGTAACACAATGCAATCAAAAAACATCTTAAATCTTAGAATTTTATAAGGAAATTTGTCGCGTAGCCTGATTTTTAATTTTAAAGGAAAGGTGTGAATAAAAAAAATGCTTGGCTACAGTTTAATTGTTGGTTTGACAAATTTAATTTGTCAATTTATGAGCGACTTCTCTTATGGAAACTCTTGGATTTTCTTCGACTGATAACAGAACATTCAGATTTCTATTTTCTTGTTCTTTAACCACAGGTTTTTTAGTTTTAAGAAGCAAACCTATTCGTTTTAGTTGTTTTTCAATTCGACTAAATTTTCAACGATTTGGTTGAATTCTATATGAGTATTTTTCTTTATACTGTCTTTCAGCTTCCGCTCTATTTTTGTTGCACTTAAAAAACACTTCAAGCTGATCTACCAATTCGTCGTAGTTAATATCATCCATTATTAAAGATCTCAATAAGATTTATTGACAAATTAGGCTTTGTCAAACTAACAATTAAACGGTATCCAAGCAAATTGCTTTTTGCATGAATACCTTGACAAGTAAAATCCCGCCTACGTTGCAAAATTTGCAATGAAATTCAAAATTTTAAATTGTTTTCTGAGTGCAAGTAAAATGTAATAAATAGTGGTTTACCGTATCTTTCATGTCAATTATTTTTGTTTCGAGGAAAAAAAACATAGGTGTTCCTAAATTTGGTAGCATTTCCGGCTACACCGGATGTGCCAAAAAAATTTGATGCATTTACCAAAAAAAACGAGGAATGAATA